CGCCTCCCACCAGGAGTAGAAGCAGCGCCAACAGACTCAGCACCAAGGAAGTCAACAGCAGCAGCAGCAGCGTAGGAGGGAGCGAGGGGAGAGGGAGAACACCCCTCAAAGATGGGGGTGCGAGGAGCGCCACGAGCAGCACCGACAGCTACAATGCTCTTTTCGGCCGCGAGCAGGTGCTCCTCTAGGAGGGCGACTGTGAGCTCAGTGGGACAGCGAGCAAGGAAGTGGTCTCGAACTGAGCGGAGGGTGTCAGGGAGACGGGTGACTATGAAGTGGAGTGTCCAGTACAGTGGAGGGGGGTTCTTAGCGCAGAACTCGGTGGGAAGGGCGGCACGCAGGCGAGCATCACTAGTGCGAAGGTGGGTGATAAGATCGGCGACTGTAGTAAAGGTGGACAGATCGGGGAACAGGTACGGCAGCATGAGGCGGCTAAGCTCGGCTGTGGCAGGCGAGGAGTAGCGAGCGACGACAGCGTCGTACAGGGCCTTAGCGGATTTGCAGTCGCCAAAATGCTCTAGCTCAGCTAACGGCAGGTGACTGCGAATGGCTAGGCGAGCAGCTGCGTCACGAGTCTGCCAGTGGGAACGAACACTAAGCTCAGCTGTGGCAGGAGGGGCAGGCGCAGCACCAGACGCGTAGTCATAGAGCGACACATGCTCCTTGCTATCGCTCAGGAGAAACAGCTGCAGGTCATCTAGCCAAGCGGTGAAACGCACAGGGCGGCCCTCAGCATCGAACGACAGCACGCGAATGGAAGCCATAGCGACAGTGTGACAGAGTAACGAAAGCTGCCGCAGCAGGGGAAGACGACTGTGCACGGATAGAGAGCAGCGGGCGAGGCTGGCGCTACGGGCAGGCGGCGCTGCAAGCGGTCAGTGCGACGGGAGGGCGACGCTGCGAGCGGGCAGCGCGGCGGACGGGCCGGAAAGCGGGCAGCGCGGCGGGCAGGCGGCGCTGCAAGCGGGCAGCACGGTGGGCGGGCGACGCTGCGAGGCGGGCGGGCCGCAAAGCGAGCAGCGGGCGGGCGGGCGGGCTGCGAAGCGGGCAGCGGGGCAAGCGGGCTGCGATGCGAGCGGGCCGCGAAGTGGGCAGCGAGCGGGCGGGCGGGCTGCGAAGTGGGCGGGCCGCGAAGCGGGCAGCGGGGCGAGCGGGCTGCGAGGCGGGCGGGCCGCGAAGCGGGCAGCGAGCGGGCGGGCGGGCTGCGAAGTGGCGGGCCGCGAAGCGGGCAGCGAGCGAGCGGGCTGCGAAGCGGGCGGGCCGCGAAGCGGGCAGCGAGCGAGCGGGCTGCGAAGCGGGCGGGCCGCGAAGCGGGCAGCGAGCGGGCGGGCGGGCTGCGTAGCGAGCGGGCCGCGAAGCGGGCAGCGAGCGGGCGGGCGGGCTGCGAGCGGGCGGCTCGGCGAGGGGCGCGCGAGGGCGCTAGTGAGAGGCGCGCGAGGGCGCTAGTGAGGGGCGCGCGAGGGCGCTAGCAAGGGGCGCGCGAGGGCGCTAGCAAAGGGGCGCGCGAGGGCGCTAACGAAGGGGCGCGCGAGGGCGCTGACGTGGGTGCGCGCGAGGGCGCTAACGAGGGTGCGCGCGAGGGCGCTAACGAGGGCGCACGAGGGCGCTACGAGGCTAGGGAACGGGGTAGCGTGGTAACCGCATGCGAGCGGTGGTGGGCCCTAAAAACGATCGGTAGGTCCTAGGGACCTCCTGCTCTGAATACCATTTCAGAATCACTAGGCAAGAATGAATGAACTAACAGAAGTTTGGGTACAAATATGAAACCCTAGTTGGGGTTGTACCCCATATTGGCTACCCCACTACAGCCTACAAGCATAATACAGTTTAACAATTTACTGTACTGATTTTTACACGCGCAGATCGCATGTACTGTAGTGCTGCGCCCATGTGGCACGTAGCCTTCAGGCACTCAGTCGTTTCCTTCCAGCTCTTGCCACGCGGAAGATTTTGAAGCCGTGTTAAAAAACTGATCCGTAACACTTTGAGAACGTATCAACGAATGATTTATCGCCGCGTCATACTATCGAAGTGAAGTTGTTCAAGTGCGTGCTGATGTGGTAAAAAGGCATTCTTTGTGTGCTCGATACTATATACAGCGACCGTTTCACAACGAAAAAATCATCATTAGATTGTAACTACATATTAGGAGGGAGTATTTTTAACAACATAAACAGCACCCAACTAGAGATATAAAAGAACAAGTTCATAAACAAGCCATATATTAAATATGTAGAGACAATAAAAATCAATTGCTATGCTTATCGCTTGTACTGCAATTGTTTGACGATGTTCTAATCATATGCTGTTATATTTTCAAAACTTTGAGTAAATAGTTCAACATGGAGACTGTATTGTATTTATAGATAAATGAGCTGTTAACTTATATTATCATGCAAATATTTTACTCACTACCAAACAACTGTTACGAAGAAAAGTTATATGTTGTTTTACATGTTTTATCTATCCATCAATCGTTAACGGAACGTAATGCTCTGCGTATATCGACACTCCTTGCTTTCTGAACCCCAAATTATTCGTGCGCGACCGTGATTGGTTCCGTTGGTGGCACTGAGGTCTGACGTGACTAGTGTTCCAAACTCAAATCGGTGCTGCGGCGTTCAAAACGAACAACGAGCTGAGGAGGCGATCTACCCAACGCACACAATACGAACCTACACTTCTATTGGTGCTTGTTCGCGCTGCGCAGCTCGAAATGCTTCCTTTCGAGGATTATCTGACTGCCATTTGGCGCTTAAAGATTAGCGCTACTGAAAGGTTTGGAGGTATCGAGCCAAACGTAACACTTCCACGTAGGTTTGGATTCTCAGGGAATTCGTGGTCTGGTTCCAACAATGTTGGAGGCGACCATTTGTATTCTTGGTAAAACTTTCTAGGTGACCGTACACTCACAGCTACACTTTGTTTTTCAAGTCGGAATGACCCGGGCGCGGATCGCGCGGGATAAAAGGTGGGTCGATCGCGAAACAGGTTTTGGAAAAATTTGAGCGCGGTGAAAATTTTTCACGAAACCAAAGCTCGTGCCGCGGTAATTCTCTCTCTCCCCCGTCACTTCTCTTCTACCTGTTTACCTTTAGCCGATAGGTGACAGCCATGGAAATACCGACAAGCTCTTGTTTGCTGCGATTCGTCGCACTAACTTGTAGATTGTCGGGTAGACACCCATTTTCGGTTGCAGACGATCATGTTGAACGGAACACGGATACTGCATGTCGTTAGATTCTAACTGTCCGTGCAGCTCCGTTGATTCGAAGGAAGGTAGTGAGACGAGGAGGGGCATGAGCTTCAGAACGGGCGAGAGAAAACGAGTCCGATTCGAAAACTAGGGACGACGCTGATCCGGGTGGTAGTTGGTTCCGCAGTTGTTTCGCGTAACCACCAGCAAACGCGAATTTTGCTACATGGATTACATCATGTCGTCAGGTCGAGTCTGTTGAGATCGCACTGACCCTGCAGAGGATCGTCGCGTTCTGCAGGGACACGAAATTCTGCCGAAGCGGAAAATTGCAGAGTACAGCGCGGAACTCTGCACTGCAGCAGAGACACCTCGCAGAAGCGGAAAACAGGTTCCGCTGCAGACGAGTGCGAATCTGCAGAGCAGAACTGGGAGCTGCAGAGGAGGGCGTATCTGTAGAAGTTCGGATCTGCAGAGGAGGAGAGTCTTCTACCGGCGAACCCCTCCAACGCAAAAGTACGATCGTTTCGTAACTTCTGCGGGAGGAATTTCGAAATTTCGGGACATTGAGAAATTGACCCCGCGGAACAGTGCGCGGAACTGGGGTGTTCAATCTGGGGTGAAACTGAACCACCTGCACAGAATGAACCTGGCGCACGTTTTCGTAACTACGAAAACGTGCGTTACAGAAGTTGTTTAAAACAACCTGAACAGCTAAAACAACTACTTTTAGGTAGGTAAAAATTACCAACTAAGCACGTGTTGTAATTTTCACCTGCCGACGCTGAGTTGGCAAAGCGCAGCTAAAAGTAGTTATGTAAACGTTCTTGGGCAAACGTTCTCTGATGGTTCATTGGTGGGGTAGCTTCTATTTCACCCATTGTTGTATTCTATTTTCAACTATTCTAGTGAATTCTCTTTTGTGTGTCAACTCTATGCCTTCAAGGACTTAGACAAATTTCTGTCTCCTTAGTGAACCACCAATATCGTGTCTACGTCGAAAGCATTCCGTAGAGCTCGTTCACCCGTTAGAGCAGAAATCTCTGTAGAGTCGCTCTCGAGAGATTCGGTTATGGAAGGCTTTTCCTCAGTGTTACCCCCCGCCTCGGTACGCTTGGCATCATGATGTAACGCACGCCTCATCTTATCTGAACCGCGCTACAGCCAACAAATGAGATTCTTCGTAGCGATGGCTCTGAATCACCGCCACAGCCACAACAGCGGCATCCGCATCCCAAATTTTGGAGGGGCTCGTACTATGTACGTATATGTGCTGCTACAGTGTACCTACTCTCCTGAGCTCGTATTTACTATGTAGCAGCATATGTACGTACATAGTACGCACGCCAAACATTTTTGGGATTCGAACGTGCGACCGGCACGCGACGCCTCGCCTCCTCCAGTGACCGCGTCGCCTTGAGTTAGTAGCTCTTCCCCCACGCCACACACCCAACGAGTTGCGGTTCTGTCTTAGCTACCTCTCCTGCAGTCATGCAGCGGTGCACACCTCTTCCTGCGCCTATAAAGCCGGCGCCATGTGCAGCCATGGAATCATCAGCTCCAATCCGCCTCTCTTCTCACTCTCCTCCTCAAGAACCCGTTTGCAGCAGCCTTCCAGCTCTCTCCAGCTGCTTCGCAAGCCCGAGTCAACTCACAAGCCACATCAGTGCAAGCCGAGTTCTGAGGCAACTCAGCAGTCACTTGTGTGCCTCCCCTCATGGCGACGGCTGGCATGCGCGTGCTCGTGCTGGCAGCGCTGGCAGTGGGGCTGCTGGCGGCAGCAGTGAGTGGAGCGCGGGACGCCATGAAGGTAGCCAGGGGGCTGGTCCCAGAGGAGGGCGCGGCGGCTGGCGGGGTGGGCGCGGGGCAGCAGAGGAAGGGCGCGCGCATTCTGGCTGCTGAGACCTTCGCTCACCACGCCCCTCTGCCCGACTACCTCGACCACATCCCCCACTGCCAGGCCCTCGCCACCAGTACGCAGCCCTGCTCCCTCCTCTCCCTCTCTTCCCAGCCTTGCTTCCTTAGCTCTGCTGTTCCTTTCTTCTCACGGTGTGTTCCTGCTCTCCTTGCCTCTCATTTCTCTGCTCTCCTTGCCTCTCATTTCTCTGCTCTCCTTGCCTCTCATTTCTCTGCTCTCCTTGCCTCTCATTTCTCTGCACTCCTTGCCTCTCATTCTATTCCTTTCTTCCCCCCCCCCTCCCTTCCCACCCCCTCAAATCCTGCCTACTCTCCAACGTGTGGGCGCACGACGGTGACGATCCGGTCGCAGTACCTGGGGCCGTACGACATGCACAACGACATCTACAACATGACCTTCTACAACGGCTGCGCCTACAAGGTCACCAGCCCGCTACGCGTGTGGCAGTGCTTCAACTTCGGCAACGTGTGGGAGGGCGTCCTCTCCAACCCCGCGCCCAACCCCACGCAGTACCAGACAGGCGACATTTTCGTGCAGACCTTGCCGGGCTACTGTGAGATGCGCCTGAACCGCGGTGCCAGCGGCAAATTGCAGATGCTCCCCAGGGAGACGGTGAACATTGTGTATGCGTACACGTGGGACTTCCGGCCCTGCGTGCAGGAGCTGCGGTTCGGCAACGGCAACTGCTACTCCATGACCAACACCACTGAGTGCCAGCTCACCGTGGGCCCCTCGTACTGCATCGTGGATAGTGTTCGTGATTATTGTTCCATGTGGTGTAGCACAAGGTTTGGGTGAGGTTAAGAGGTGGTGGAGGGAGGAGTTGGGGGGAAAGTTGAGGCAATATTAATGCATGTAAAGCATCCAACTCAATCCTCATCCATGAAGCTTTGTCGGCGGGAGATGTTTGGAACAGTGTTTTATCAGCCCAACATCGTTCCCCGTTTTGCTTCATTGGAACACGTTTTCAAGTTGAACCTGCCTTCACTATTTTAGACTCTCGTTTAAATTAGGCCAGGGAGTGGTAAGGTGGTGTGTATGTAAGAAAACTACCTTCCTTCATTCTTTACATATACCGTGTACAGCACTTTTTCTGCCATCACAACCAAATGCCTCGCGACCAGGGTCTTTCGTTAATCAGACCAAACCCGTCATCAGACCAAACCCGTTATCAGACCAATGAGTCTGTTGAGATAAGTACAACACTGCTGCATGGGGCTGGGGGAATGGGGGCTTTGACAGAAGGCACCACGTGGCGACGAATAAATTTGCAACTGCACATTGCCAGCCGGGTGTCTTGCGGTTCAGTATGGATGGATTAAGGATACCAACCAAGGCACATTAAGACGATACTACTACAATCCACCTACTGAGCTTACTTGACCAAGAATACGTGCAACGACAGAAATTAGCCCCTTGGTGTCTGTTTCCCCTTCCATTACGCCACCAACCCTAGCTCCACGCACACAGCCAAGAGGAGCATGTGTAGTTGGGTGCACACCTGCATGCGCTGCTCTCAATGCATTCTCCTCATTCCCCGTCTTCTCATAAACCCCACAACCACTCAGCACCGTACTGTCTGCCTCCAAGGCACCTTCACCGCTCGCCTCCACACAATTCTCTGCGAGCCAGGCTGTCAGGTCGTGAACAGTGTCAATGTCCCTCAGGCACGGCAGCAAATCCAGAGACGCCACGTCAGCCACTCCGTTGGCGTGGAGAGCTGAGAGTGACTGGTCCAGCACCCTGTGCGTGCTCCACTCTATGGCCTGACGGGACCCGGGGGATGGGAGACAGGAGGGATGGGAGAGAGGGGAAGAGCCAGGATGTGGGGTTGTAAACTGTGTCCATGTTCCTTAGGTATGGCAGGCGGCCGTTCTGTTGGAGTGGAGTCCAGAGAGTTACTGCTGCAGCACCCTGTTCATATTCCACGCTATCCCCTGATGGGGTATGGTGGTGTGAGAGAAAGAGAGGGGAAAGAGGATGGCGGGGGGGTGAGTGGTGAGGAGAGATTGGAGAGGGGAAGGAGGGCGAAGAACTAAGGAAGGATGTGCGTGACTGATGTAGTCACCCTAATTCTCGAACATGGCACAAGCATCCTGAGCGTGCCTCCCTCTGTGCCCTGTTGGTTGGTGCCTGGGGGATGAGCAAGAGGGTAAGAGGGAGGATGGCACGAGGAAGAGTGGTGAGGAGAGTTGACGTGGGGACGGAGGGTGAAGAACGAGAGGATGCGATCGAGAGGGATGCAGAAGAGAGATCGGATACTGACAGGCATATGCATGTATGGAACGAGCACATGCATGTATGGAACGAGCACATGCATGTGTGGAAGGAGCACATGCATGTGTGGAAGGAGCACATGCATGTGTGGAAGGAGCACATGCATGTGTGGAAGGAGCACATGCATGTGTGGAAGGAGCACATGCATGTGTGGAAGGAGCACATGCATGTATGGAACGAGCACATACATGTGTGGAAGGAGCACATGCATGTGTGGAAGGAGCACATGCATGTGTGGAAGGAGCACATGCATGTGTGGAAGGAGCACATGCATGTGTGGAAGGAGCACATGCATGTGTGGAAGGAGCACATGCATGTGTGGAAGGAGCACATGCATGTATGGAAGGAGCACATGCATGTGTGGAAGGAGCACATGCATGTATGGAAGGAGCACATGCATGTGTGGAAGGAGCACATGCATGTGTGGGACGGAATGAGCAAATACCTCAAATACACGCATGGGACGACCACACTACACATTGTGACATGACCAATCCCCATATACAAGGTGACATGCCCCACATCAGCACATGGCGACATGCCCCACATACATGGCAACATGCCCCACATACATGGTGCCATGCCCCACCCCACATACATCAAAGAGGCATGGCAGCACTGCGGTGAGGCCAAGGAGGTAGTATCCGCCATCCATACACACACGCACATGATTGACACCACACATGGGATGAGATGAGTACACTACACTTGGTGGCATGCCTCTCACATACATACATCGAAGAGGCATGGCAGCACTGCGGTGAGGCCAAGGAGGTAGTATCCGCCATCCATACACACACGCACATGATTGACACCACACATGGGATGAGATGAGTACACTACACTTGGTGGCATGCCTCTCACATACATACATCGAAGAGGCATGGCAGCACTGCGGTGAGGCCAAGGAGGTAGTATCCGCCATCCAGGGCCGGCCCAAACACCACCTGCCAGGGATCCCAAAGGGCGCAATGAATCAAGAGATTGATTTCAAGAACGATCCTGATCATCAAAGACACGCCTCTGTATTCCTTTCAAACGATCCTGACTGCCCTCCATCTGCCACACCCCACTTCCCGCCCTGCATATTTGTAACTCTCCAGTTCTCCGCTCACCTGGTGGTTTTTGAGCGGCAAAAGAGCAGCAGCAACAGTGGCACCATTCACATAAGGGATGCTTGATCCAATCACCACGTTACCTCTGCAGGCCAAATAGTGCCAGAGCAATGCCTCCATGCCTTCTGTCACCCACTCGTGCCCTTTCTCCTTCCCTCTCCTCCTCTCACCCACTCTTGCCCTTTCTCCTTCCCTCTCCCCTTCTCACCCACTCGTGCCCTCGCTCCCCTTTCCTCAACTCACCCGGTGGTGCCGCAGAGCAGAGAGCGCAGCAGCAACTGTGGCGCCATCCACATCAGGGATGTCTGTTCCGATCACCACCACCTGCCATGGACGGCGGAGTGTGGGAGGCAGGCAGAGAGATGAGGGGGCGGCATGCAATGGGGAGGAGAGGGAGCAACAGTGACGCGCCATCCACATTAGGGAAGTCTGTCCCGACCACCAGCACCACCAGCACCACCACCACCACCACCACCACCGCCACCGCCGCCGCCGCCGCCGCCGCCGCCGCCGCCGCCGCCGCCACCACCACCACCACCACCACCACCAGAGGAGTGCAAAGCAGGGAACGCCAACAAGCATCCGAATAAAGACCGAGTGAGCACCAGTTGGGTTAGGTGCCATGCATGATGACTACACCTGGCATCAACTTCTGTTTAGGTAGAAACGAGGAGGGCGTTTAGTTGTAAGCCCTTGAGTGAAGAGTGGAATCAGGGAACACCGTCAAGGATCTAATTGAAGAGTGCAAGCAGACTAATGCTACTCACTCACAGAATTCACAAACCTCACCCCTGAGATGTCCACACAGACATATTCCCCAACGCTCACCCCACGTCAAGCCGGATGTGCTCTCACCCTGTGGTATCCCAGGCCCAGCACGTGCTGGAAGGCTGCTTGCATGCGCGCCCCCACGTCTCCCCCCACCTGTATGGGGTTTAAGGTTTTAGGGTTCCAAGGTTTCGGGTTCGGGTTTAGGGTGGTGGAAGGCTCCTTGCATGCGGACACCCATGTCTGCCCCCTCCTGTATGGAGTTAAGTTACGGGTTAATTCTAGGGTTTCAGGTTTAGTGTTCCAATTTCAGCGTGGTGGAAGGCTGCTTGCATACGCACACCCACCCACGTCTCAACTCCACCACGTGCATAGATGGTGGCATGGGAGCGATCGATGCACGCATGAACTGTGGTGTGGCATACTGATGGACTTTTGAGAACTCTCAAATGCGCGGATTGGATGTAGGAATGGTGGCAGGTGAGCATGGGGTGTGGGCATGGGTTGTATGTGAGCATGGGTTGTTGTGAGCATGGGGTGTATGTGAGCATGGGTTGTTGTGAGCATGGGTTGTTGTGAGCATGGGTTGTTGTGAGCATGGGTGTATGTGAGCATGGGTTGTTGTGAGCATGGGTTATGCGCATGAAGTGAGACAGCACAGCTGAGCTGGGATCGAAGGAGATTGTATAGGTGAGGTGGGAATTAAAGCGCAAGTTCTGACCTGAGGCACAAAGCAGAGGGAGGTGGAGGATGGCAGCAGCTGCTGCATCCACCGTTTGATCTCGCCTTCATCCGACGGCTCAGAGAAGAAGATGAAGACATGCGTGGATGCCTGCCTGCCTGCCACACCACAACCACTCTCGAGAATTATCAGAAAAAACTGTCAACTACTGTTGCAATCGAGCAGCCATTGTTAATGAAAGCCAAGACTACAACATAGACGGAATCAAGAAACCAGCAACGCCAGAGCACAGGGTGAATGGCCACGTCAACCTATAAAAGCTCTTGTGTCCGGAAGAACCTCCACCTCGCTACAAGAGCTCTTGTAATCAGGACCCCCGGCGCCTCGCTATAGTCACGTACAGGTCGGGGCAGCGCACGATGATATTGGTGACGACGTGCTCGCAGCACGCGCGGTAGAAGTCGCACGCCGCGTCCGCCCCCACGCCGGCCGCCAGGCGCGTCTTCACGCGCCCCGGCGCCGGCCGCTTCACGAAAATCATCACCGCCTGCTGCGCGCCGAGCGCCTCCGTCGCTTCACTCGGCGCCTCGTCTTCTTCGCTCGCACTCAGTTTAGGGTCGCTCATTTTGGCGTCGCTTATTCTTTCAAGCTCGCTCAAGAATCAGGAGACTGAGGCTACGTACTGAGAGAACGACGGTGTCTTAGTCCTGAAACGGCGATAGCGATTGCCTTGCTGCGGATGAGGCATTCACACGCGGTACGGGTAGGCAACCGTAAAGGTTGGTGAAAGGCGAGAAGGATCGAGAGACAGACAGCTCAGCCGAGCTGACGTGTCGAACAGATACGAACGCGCGGGCGACTTGTGATTTGGCGGCAAATTTGAACCTAGCTGGTCAACGGCCCCAAAGGGGGAGAGAGGGGAAAGGAGGAAGCTGTGGTTGAGTGGCTTGGAGGGAGAAAGTCTTTTTCGGTACGGCTGAGTGAGGTGCTCTGCGTTTAAAATCGTCAAATAACATTATCATACGGTTAGGATAGTGCGGATTCTCGTGCTTTCCCTGCGCATTTCACTGTTGCAGAAGTATTCGGTTCAATCGCCAATCTCGCAAAGTTCTCGAAGCCGTTCGTTCGCCAATGGGCTTCGAGGTTTTTCCCAGCTGTCCAATGGGATCCTGGCTTAGGAACACCGACCATCGTCAGTACTTCCCGAGAATCACAGGACAAATATAAAGGGTTGCTACGCAACCCAAAAAGCGAAAACCGCGAACGCAGGCGAAATAGGGGAATGGGAATCCATCGCGAGGAGGACGTAGGCGCGCGATTCAGCACCAGAGAGAACCAGATCTCCGCTGTAGTGCACAGAAGCGGCGGAGGGTAATGTGTAGCGCTGCATTGTTGTGCTTCCATTTTCTAGCTTCAGTTCAGATCAGGTAGGTCTAGCTTCGTGTTTTCTCGCCACGAAGTGCTTTGAGCATAGTTCACGACACGGTAGTTGGCGCGTACTATCACATACTGTCGCCTACGGTCGCATACCATCGGGTGCAATCCGCCAGTCGCGATGAGCGAGAGCAGCGCGGCGACGGCCACCGCGACAGCGGCAGGCGTCAGCTTGAAGCAGCGCCGGATAGCGGCCGACGCATCGCAGCCGTCCGTTACGCCGGAGGCCGGTAACGCGATCAAAGATGCCGACGCGTTGAAGGACAAGGCGAAGCCACGTGGCGCGTCGCCGCGCCGGCGGTCCGGATGGCTCCTGCTGGTGCTCGTGGTTCTGGTGGCGGCAGCTGCCGGCGCGGGTTATTATTTGTGGCGGGAATACAGCGAGTTTGTCGCGATCGACGACGACGAGGAGCCCGAGGCTGAAGCGCCGGTCGAGAAGGTCGCGACGCGGTCGAACCCGCGGAAAGCCCAATGGCAAGCCGATGTGAGTCGCTGCGTTCATCGCTGGATCCGTCGCCGACGTGCGCCGCAAGGGTGGCGACGAGGGGGTGCAATTCCCGCTGAGCGATCTCTTTGTCACCTCATGCACTATCGTCACGTGATCCATTCCCGTTGTCCCTCCGCGCGGGTCCTCTCTGTCAGGTAGACAATGCACGACGTTTCAGACATCTCGAAAGTTATCAGCGGCGCATCATACACCTCTCTGTCAGCAGAAGACATGTTTCCGCGGCGCGGCTCTGAATCTCCCCCTTAAGATTCTCACCCTGCGTTTCCCCATCCACTGCTGCCCTATCTGTGCGCTTGCATGCGTGCCCCTCTGTCTTGAATGTGACTGAACGGAATTGTGACTGCCTCGGTTGTGACTGTCTCGATTGTAACAAGAGCTCTGGAGCGCGGAGGAGCTGACATAGTACAACGGGTGCAGAAGGGCGTTCCCGTGCTTCCCATTCCCATGCCCTGCCCCCTCGCATGCCATGCCTCACTGTCTCGTTTGTGACTGTCTCGATTATAACAGAAGCTGTGGAGCGCGGAGGAGCTGGCCAGGTACAACGGGTCGAAGAAGGGCGTTCCGCTGCTGCTGGGCATTCTGGGGTGAGTGGGGCGTTGGGCATTCTGGGGTGAGTGGGGCGTTGGGTTAGTCGTCTGATTGCGTGAGTGAGTGGGGAGTGCCCAGGCGAGGGCGAGTGCGGAGTGGGAGTTGGTTGGATGCCCACCATAAGGTTTGCAAATGGGTGCTGTGCTGCCGGTGGAAGTGCAGGTCCCACGCTGTTGCTATGCCCCATGCCCCAAGCAGCATGCCCCATGCCCCAAGCAGCATGCCCCATGCCCCAAGTAGCATGCCCCATGCCCCATGCTCCATGGCCCATGCACCATGCATACAACATGCCCCATACCCCATCCCCTGTATCCCATACCCCATATCCCATGCCCCATGCCCCATGCCCATATCACATGCCCCATGCCCATATCCCATGCCCCATGCCCATATCCCATGCCCCATGCCCATATCCCATGCCCCATGCCCATATCCCATGCCCCATGCCCATATTCCATGCCCCATGACCAAGGGCGAAATGTATGACCTGTTTTTCTTTGTAAGCGCCTAAACACAGCACGCCTCATTTCTGCTGCCCTATGCCCCAATAATCCACACCCATAATACCCTGTACCCATGCGTGCAGTGATGTAATCGATGTGACCAAGGGCATGAAGCACTACGAGCAAGGGGCAGAGAAACGTTTTGAGGCGCCTCAAGAACACACCCCATACCCATGCTTGGCAGCCCAAACCCTCAGAAAGTCGCTCCTCGTTCCTGCTGCCCCTCGCCCCATACCCCGTACCCCATACCCCGTACCCCATACTCCGTACCCTATACCCCACACTCCATGCATGCAGGGACGTGTTCGACGTGTCCAAGGGCAGGAAGCAGTACGGAAAGGGGCAAGGTCTGCCTTGAGGCGCCCCATTTTTTGAGGCAAGGGGCAGGGGTCCGTTTTGAGGCGCCTCAAAAGCTCACCCCGCAACGCGAACTTGGCACCTTAACCCCCATACCCCACAACCCATACCTGCAGGGACGTGTTCGACGTGACCAAGGGCAGGAAGCACTACGGCAAGGGGCAGGGGTACAACCACTTCGCTGGCAGGTCAGTGCCCCAGGCTGCCACGTCAGCAACCTAGGCTGCCAGGTCAGCAACCTAGGCTGCCAGGTCAGCAACCTAGGCTGCCAGGTCAGCAACCTAGGCTGCCACCCCAGGCTGCCGCCAGATCAGTGCCTGAGGGCGAAACTTAATGTGGCTGTTTTATAAAATCCACCACAGTGCGACCCGCTTGAGGAAATCAAGTGTAGTGTACGACCTGTCCCAGAGTTGATTTTTTAGTCGACTCAGAAAGAGGCACGATACTGCGGCCCGCTTAAGGAAACCAAGTCAAGCCAAGCGCATGACCTGAGGGAATCTCCCAAAGCCCAGCCCTGCTGCTCAGCCCAAATCTCCCAACACCGCACACAACATGAAAAACGCCCAAACCAAAAGATTTACAGGGCTTGGGGTGTTCCTGATGCTGTTATTCGGGTGCACTAGGCTCCGCAAAAGTGGACCCCGCACTCCGCAAAACGCTGAAACTAAAGAATCCATAGGTGCTTAGAGTGTGCCTGCTGCTGGTGCTTCATTGATTGTTTCGGTGGGGAGCGGCTGTGCTTTTGAGTGCAATTCAGCTGCTTAATGATGGATAGAAGGGCTTTCTTCCGTGATGGAGCAACACACTCATTCCATGATGGGCCCTGAGTGTGCATTAAATCCCTCAAGCCCTACTCCCCTGTGATGGGTGTGAATGTCATCTCAAAGCTCGCCCACTGCCCCTTTATGCTCTTTCGTCCTGCCCATGCCTCCACTCCACCTCTCGGCATCTCCGCGTTGTAGCATCCTGTCTCCCCTCACACCTTCCCGCCTCTCACTCACTCACACCTCCCCCCCACCATCATGCCTCGTCCCGTCCCCATCAATCCTTTCTCACAGGGATGCCACGAGGGCTTTCGTCTCAGGCAACTTCTCAGGTATGACGGACCATGCCATGCCATGCCATGCCGTGCCGTGCCATGCCATGCCATGCCATGCCATACCATGCCATGCCATGCCATGCCATGCCATGCCGTGCCGTGCCGTGCTGTGCCGTGCCATGCTGTGCGTGCCATGCCAAGCCTTGCCGTGCTGTGCTGCCATGCCATGCCATGCCATGCCATGTCATGCCATGCCACACCAAACTATGCTATACCAGACTATGTCAGACCATACCATTCCATAATATGCCATTTCAACCCATCCCATACCATAACATGCCACGCATGGGAGGTAAGCTTGATACGATTTGAAGAAGCTCCCTTGTTCACAGCTCATGAGCGTTCATCCACCAGCACGAGATGGCACACGATGGCACGCCCTGGGATCACATGCCACCGCATGGCACCACCGCATGGCACATTGTGGCCCCTTCACCCTTCTCCCTCGCACCTTCCACTCCGTCTCTGCCACCCTCTGCCACCCTATGCCTTCTTCTATTTCTTTTGCCCCTTTTCCCTGCGTGTCCATCTCTTTCTCTTCCCTTTCCCTCCCTTTTCCCATCTCGTTCCACCACATTCCACTCCTTCCTATCCCTCTCCCTGCCTGCAGGTGACGGCTTAACGGACGACCTGACGGGGCTGTCAGGAGAGCAGTGCATTGGCATTGCTGACTGGAGGGATTTCTACTTCAAGACGTACATGTGAGTTGCTTCGTGCTGGGTGAGAGGGGAAAGTGTGTGAGGGGCTGTCAGGAGAGCAGTGCATCGGCATCGCTCAGCATTCACCCTTCGCCCCTTCTCCTCCTTGCCTTGCCTTGCTTTCCTTGTCTCGCCTTGCCTCTCCTACCAGCCACGTGGGGAAGCTGGTGGGGCGGTTTTACGACGAGCAGGGCAAGGCGACAGCTGCTCTGGGCGAGTTTGACGAGCTGCTCAAGGAGGGCAAGCGGTTGAGGGACGTGGCTAAGGTGGCTGAAAAGAAATACCCTGGGTGCAACTCGCGATGGGCGCAGAACGAGGGCGGCAAGGTGAGACTCCTCCCTCCCCCCCTTGCGCAACTCTCCTGTCCACACCTCCTTTTGAACACTCATCGATTGAGACGTCTTGGTGGCCAAGGGCGGTGGAAGAGAAATACCCAAT